GTTCCGCTTATGCCGAGGGCCAAAAATAACACCGGTGCAGCTCGTTGCTGCAGAAAGAGGCAGGTGTTTTTCATTCGACTCGGGCCTCTAGCACCCCTCTGGCTCAATCTGCCCACTAACTGCCCTCAGGTCTCCATGGTGGGGCGGTGCCTCCGGACCGGTGATGGAAGCAGTCTGCCAGTTATTAACTTGGGCATTAGGGGACCTTGTGGAACTCCACTGGGTCAAATCCCTCAACCCAAAAACCACGTACTCTGGCCCATGTTTGGTTCTGAATGTCTCCAGCTCCACCAACACACCTCAAACATGTGCTCTTGGGTCATTGGGGGTGGGGGGGGGTCACCTGCTTCACCCCCCAGCGTAAAATCATGCCACACTCACTGTGACCGAGGCATCTGTCACCTGCAAAGAATATTGTCTGCATACACAAAAAGAATCTCTTTATAGCAAAAAAAACACTCATTTCGCAGCTGGCTGTCCTAATTGGGCCGCCCTGCAGTACTTCAGCGGTCCAGGCATTCAGCAGCAGATTTTTATCTCCGTCGGTAACCATGACAAAAGGAGACGAGCTTCCGTGGCGAGTTCTAATCTCAGGTGCCGATAGGAATCAACTGCATGCAGCACTTGGGCTCCTTTCTGGAGTGTTTCAGCATTTTAAAAGCCTTTATTTTGATCAGGAAATGCAGACACCCCACATCCCTGCTGCGGATGTAAATTCTGCACCCAAATGGCTGAATTTTCTTCAACATCGGTACCTTCTCCTCGGCAATTGATTTTTTTTTTAATGCTAAATATTTTCAAAATGTCTTTGCCTGTAAAAATTGTGCAGTCATTAAAGAGGGCTTATGCATATTTCATCAAAGCTGAGATATGACCAAAATTGCTTTTAATAAGCACACTACCATTTACTGTATGTACCTATTACACATACAGTCAAAGAACTATGAAGTTTGTGGTTTTTCCAGTTTCAGTGCCAACATAGTGACTGTATTTCGCCTTTATAGTGGAGAGTGTTCCAGGCATGTGCGTCCTTGACTTCAAGGTGCACATCGGACGACTATCTACAAATAGATGCTAGCTTCAGTTTAAGTCCAACTCAACCAGTTCTAAACGAGGTAAAAGTGTCCCTTTCGTTCAGTAATGGAGGGACAGGACATTCTACTCCAAGAGGCCAGCCGTGGGAAATATCACACCTTCCGGAGCGGCTTGTGATGGCGTGCAAATGGGGAGCAATCTCACTCAAAGGGCGCCTGCCGTATCCACTTTATAGGGTCACACTTGTCGTTCTTAAACTCTTATAAACAAACAGAGCTACCTCCTTCATTTGCTTAGGCAGCAATTTAGACTGCTACGAGCCCCCCCGCGGGGGCCATAGAACGGCAGGGTGACAGAGGAGCGTGACCCTGTCCTGAAGAAGGAGTCGAGATGGGACACGGCAGAGAAGCGCAGATCAGGATCACGCAGGGCGCAAAATAACAGCGTTTCAGTACAGAGTATTGCAGTAAAAGCACAACACAAAATACAACAGAAACAAGATAGAGTGATGCAATAGTATAATAGTGTTATAGTAATACAGTTATCTACTTGTCTACTGTGCTGTTGTTTTCTGTTTTCGATTTCTTTTCTTACTGCATCTGGAGAAGTGAACTAAGAATTTCATTGTGTAGACACTGCACATATGACAATAAATTGCTTGATTCTTGAATCTTAAAAACAATATATGATAATGCATTGGTGATTTGAAAAAGAGTAATTCAGAATTAACAGCAAGGAGTTAAGTGATAGTAATGTGTCATAACACAGTGTTAGAACAATTAATTATACAGTGTAGAGTAATGCAGTAGTTATAATGTATGTTATAACACAGTAGAAACACAGTGTAAATAATAAATGACTGACCCAGCTCTCAATCTGCAAGATTGATTAGGACTTTAATGTCCAGAGCCTACGCCAAGAACCACAGAGAATAAGGCTGGGTCCACCTTTATCCTGCACGGGATGCTTTTAAAATATCGATTTAGGAGGAGGTTGTTGCAGTTTCCAAATTGTAAGTATTTAAAAAGATACTGCGAGACTATTTATAATCCCAGACTGCACATAAACAGCTCACTCAACCATGAATGTGCGCGGGGCAAGCAATATTGCTAGGTAATGGTGATCGTAGAATAGAATAGGGTACAAAGTCAATAATGCCAATTATGTCTGCATGGGATTTGGGGTTGTTCGTTAAGGGGCAAGATGAAGCCGAAGATGCCGACTGCCAAGAGTGAGGCCCAACGAGAGCCAGCAGGGGAGGTGAGAACTCTGTAGCCTTATCCCAGCGGGACGCTAACTGGGATGCTGTGAAGGGGAACCGCATATGACTCTCTGCTATTTATCCTTGCTTCCCGGGGAGGATGACCCAGCAAACAATCAGCGCCAATGAATATGGATGCCGCCATCTCAGTCGTCCCACATGTGTCGCAGGCAAAGGCCAAAGGCGCGACCCGTGTTGCCCGGAGTCGTGTTCTAAGATGCCACCTGAAAGCGCCAGGTGACTCTAATGATGCCAAAGAGTGATCTAAAGTGGAAGGATGCTGAGGCAGCAGCCAGACCAAGAGGTCCGTTTAAAATGGATCAAAGGGGAGATGAAAACCAGTGTTATTGTTTATGTATACGCTCCTGTAGGGAGGGTGACTTGTTGACTTTTCCAGTTGGGGCTGTAAACTTTTGTTTGTCCATGCATTTCTAAGAGGGACTGTCAGGATGATCTAACCCCATCATTGGGTAAATATGTTTGCCAACTTGCCAAGAAACCCCTCACCTCCACCCCCCCCCCCCAACCCCCCACCCCTCATCGTTTGAGAAAGATCAAAAGGGACCATCCTTTCAGGCCTGTCAATTCAGCTGGAAACCCAACCATAAATGATCTTTAAAAGTCCCAGTGTTTGGGACCCAAGCACCAAAGGACACGCTACTCTCAGCACTGGACACATCCCAAAAAACACGTTGGTTCCAATTATACCCCGATGTGCTCAGCTGATCAAAGCCAGTGGCACCCCAAAGTGAAACTAAGGTGGATGAGGGGGGGGGGGGGTCCAGAGAAGGTAAGGGCATTCTTTACTGACAAGACTTTCAATCATTCCTAATAACAATAAAAATGAAACCATGTTTCGTGGAGGCAACGTCTTGTTTTTGACCAAATTTTATAGAGTTTGTAGATCTTGCCCATCCATGTGAATGAGGCTGGTTTGTGATTTTGGTGTCCTTTAGGGGGGACAGTGATGGCCCTCAGGGGAATGTATGGCATTCAGAATTAATCAGTTCATTACACTTACATATTTAGCAAACTTTTTTTGTCCAAAGTGAAATACAAGTGAGGCAAATAGCATATTGCAAGCCTGTGCTGTCATAGAGTCAGTGAGGCATAAGGGCAGCTAGGCTGAGCTTCCAGCCAAAGCCCAGGTACGAGTGTAAGCAGGACTGGAGCAGGAGATGCACAACAACTTCTACTAAAGCAAGAACCTGATAAGACTATTCAATGACCAGAAGTGCAACGTAAGAATATTCAGGGAATGTAAAGAAGCATGAGGCTAGTAGAGGAATTCATGGGACAGATGGGTGAAGAGGTGTTACTTAAAGGTGTTAGACTGTCTAATATGTCTTTAACCTCCGTTAAAATATTTCACATGGATAAAATACCAACATACATGCAAAAGAATTAGGCAATTATGCATCTGTGAAAATGCATTTGTGGTCGATCTCAAACAATCCTGTTGGAGAATGTTAATCTTTTCGTGTTAAACGTGGAAAATGACAAACGTTGGATCTATTCCTGGTCCTGAAAACAATGCTTAAAAGCACAGATTTATTTTTGAGTTATTTGCTTGTCATTGAAAGCAGTTCATATTTGTAGACACCACAGCACCAGGCATTTTATCATATCAAACTCATTCCCAGGGGCTTTTGGTCCTTAAATCAAAAAATGTGCCCCATGGTTCCGTGCGATCCAGAGGAGAGAGAGATTCCTTAAAGCAAAGGGTTTGGGAGATAGCAGCGCGCTGATGAAAAGAAAGGGTGGTTTTTTTAATTAGAGCCGAGGAGAGTATTGCTGTGAGGTAATATCTGTGACAGGAGCCGGATTGAGTGCGATCACAGAGCGAGACAGCAAAGGGGCGGCGCCCGTGAAGAACCAGAGAGCCGGCGATGAAAGACACAAAGTCAGGTCACCACTTGGTGACAAACAAGGAGCTGCCATTGACCTGCATTTCTGACACTCACACACCATAACCCCAGATCAAACGGCTGCTTTGTGCCGCTGATATAAAACATGTTTTACAATGACGGCCCAGAATAATGACACGAGAAGCACTGAGCCACCAGCGGCGGCGGAGGGGAAGGACATGCAGGGGGAACAAGGGAGGGGCCGGTTCGCAGAATGTGTCTCGGCGAGAGGAAGGGGGTGCCGGGGTGTAAGGGCCACGACAAAACGGTGGGAAAAAAAAAGAGAAAAGCTGAAGAATGCTTTCCAGGAGCGTCTGAGCATGACCTTGGTGAAAAAGGCGGCTAAAGTAACACAGAGGGCGATGTAGGGAGACGCAGCCTGCCAGGGGATAGCATCTCTGCTCTTATGGCCAGGAGAAACCAGGTTTTACAGCAAAAACCAGGGACATAACTAATGCCTAACTCTGCACCCCCTGACAAAACGTCAGATTAAATAGTTAAAAGTCACATCAAATCATTGAAATATTTTATGTCTTCAAGGGCCCCTGTAAAGTGCTGCCCCCCCCCGAATCTGCCAGGGTAGCCATGCCCCCACTGAGTCCCTCCTCCCAGGCTAACAGGCCTAGCCCAGCGCTAATCAGTGAAACTCTCAGGTTTGTAAATCTATGCTGATTTTAGAATTACTGCTGTGGAATAAAAACCAGTGATGTACAGGATACTTCAGAAATAAGTTTATGAACAGGAGTAACTTAATATCTTTCATTCACAACAAGAGCTTATACCAACACTTTATTGTTGTTTGACAAGCAAACATGATTAAAATGTATACATTACTGTAAACTGACATGAATCAAAGTAATAGTGATGTAATTGGGGAAAGGAGTGATTTAAACATGAAAGTACTTAAAAGTATTAATATTATCATATCGCTTTTATGCACAGTATTAGAGAAAATGCTATTTTGTGTTCAACTTACGGACTGACTGTGTTGACTAATGAATCTGCCTTCATATTATGTTTAAGGATCCGAGTGCCTTCGTGGTCGAAAGCCGATTTTTAATAAAACATTTATTAATCATAAAACTATGATGAAGATAAAATGAGACGGTGATGATTTTCTTTTAGATTAACGACACATTAAATTGCAACAACACGGTGTGTTTCACAGAGAAGAGTCGTTAAAATTGGTTAATGACACGAAGACAATTACGAAGGATTACTTTCTTAGAGGAAGAGACGTGCTTCGGTGACTTTCGTGCAAGGTACATAACCTGAACTGCTCCAATAGGAACTGCCTTAAACAGAAATACGTGATTCAAAATTACAAACATTCAACATACTGAATATATGAAATGATCATACCGAATATATGAGATCTGCTGGCTCGTATAAAATTTAAAATTTGAGACAAGTCTGCACACGTATTTACATGTTTTATTAAGTTTTATTATCTTGTAAATTGTGTATAGGGTGTGCAGCGCTTTTGATGTAGCTAATTTCAGGTTTATAATGGAATAATACAGATTTGAGAATCAGAAAGCGTGAGTGTCACGCCAGATGCGTGAGAATTGGCGACCCTGCATCACTGAAATTAAGTGTCTATTTTTTAATTCACCGCAAAAGTTTTAATTACAAAAGGGGCACAATGACGGTACACATCGCACCCAGTTTTCCAGACAGTTTAATATTAGCCGATGTCTGCCTGTTCTCTAATACAGAGAAACAATAAATTGAGAGCTTATTGCCGTGCATTACGCAAAGGCTCCGTTCCGCGCGCCCGGCCGCTTTCCGCGAGCCACCGTCGCGAGTCACGTGACCGCCGCCAGTCCCTGTAATGGCTTCCTGCATCGGCTCCCTGCTCACCGTCTGAAAACATGGACAACTGTGGGTCAAAGAGAAACACGGTTACCCATAGATGCTACAGAGGCATTCTCAGACATCTCCGAAAAAAATATCAGGCAAATGTGAGAAGGAGAGCAAAGCACTCGAAATAACGGAATATGCTGTTATACCAGTTACCAGACGACATACTATACCTCGTTCTCTCTTATTTGGACTGCAAGTCTTTGAGCCGTTTGTCCCAAGTTTGCAAGAAAATTCACAATTTCGCTAACCGTGACGCAGTTTGGAGGAGTATAGCTAGAGAATGCATCAACACGGGAATGACCAGACAAGGGACAGATATGTAAGCTTTTTTGTTGTTGTTGTGTAATTTAGCGTGAAACATTTGTATCCAAGGCCTGCGTACGACATATTTTTTTACGTGCCTACGTTGAATACGTACCGGATCTAGCGTATTACACGTAGGAAGTCCCTAACGACGCGATGTACCTCGCGATTCTTCAACTGTCGTACCGTGTTTCTACGTTAAAATAGTAAAGCTTAAATCAACTAGAAAAAATACTACCAAATTATTAATATATTAAAATGCCAGATGTGTTGTATTACCAAATTATTACTGAGGTAGAAGAAAACACAATATTCGATAATCTTTTTTGTGAAAATGATGTTGCATTTATGTATTTTAAAAATATAATTTATTGCGATAGTCGAGAAATCCCAGCATTCTGTTAAGTTGAACATTTAAATTTACGGTCTTCCTCACAATCAGTGATCTTAACACTCACGTAATATCTAGTAACACAGCAAGTTAGTAATATTTATGCAGTTAAGATGTTTGTGATAGTTTGACGAACAAGTATGGCTGTACTAAGCTGCATGCGTTGTTGTGTGTTTTCTATGTATTTCAGTTGTATACATTCCTCTGAATTTAGGCAAAAATGTATTTGAACACTGCGGGTCAGAACTGACTGGCTTGTTCTAAGCATAACCAGCAAACTGACTACCGATCACTTTTATGTGCATAGTGAAACTATGCAAGCTTGCAACCTTTCTCAATCAGATATGTATAGTACCACAATTTGAAATGTGTTCAATGAATCAGTTATTCACACCTGGTTAATGAGTTTTTTAGAACTGACGTTGATAGCATTTGTAAGGATGATGTCTGAGGTGTAACTGATCTTTTCAGGTACCCCCAGATCCCCCTAAAGGACCGGGTGAGGGTGTCACAGAACTGGAGGAGGGGACATCATCGGAAAGAGGTCTTGCTGAAGTGGAAGACAAAGTAAGTGAAGAGAAACTAGAGCTTCTCATAGTTTTAAATAATATCTGTACTGATGTTTGCCCTGAAGTCTAACATGATGTATGCAAGATCCTATTTTGGTCACTCATTTACTGTGAGGCTCATCTTTCCAGAAGCTGAGCTAGATCGTTGGTGGAGTGGGTGGGGGGTTGATCATTAACACCCAATTTGTGGACACTGGACCTTCTGGTGGTGGCTGGAAAGAACCTAGAATGTAATGTTAATGTCTTTTTAGAGACCAAAATGTAATATGAACTTCCATAAAACTTACAGTGATAAATAGGTCTGAGCTGGGGTGTTGGGACAGAGTGGGTTCGAAGCCCATGTGATCGGTGAGTGAGGACTAAACGATCCCTAAAAGTCACTGATGTATGTTTTTTGAAAAGCCAAGTAAACTAGGAAAAACGTGATATTCAGAACCAGTAAACTAACTAACTTCTGTTTAACTTAATTTATGTGTATGATTCTGAATGAGGTTATAGCAAACTAATATGTAAATCACTTAAACTGAGAATTTTTACAAAGCACTTTGATTTATTTAGGTAGTCCCTGAAATGTTGCCATGGTTGAAAAGCTATCATTGTGATTTTGTCAGTTGTTGTGTCATACAGGGGACCAAAGCTGAGGAGGAGCTTCAAAATCCATGCGTGTGACCACTTTCCATTCTCTGTGTTCCTCCACAGTTTGTTGCCATGGATACAGCTGGACCGAGATGTCCTGTATCTGTCTCAGGCGGCAGACATCGGGGCATACCACCTCCGAATGGAGGGGGGGAGAATCCGCAGGCCTGCAGCTGTGTATTCAGGACACCAGGAGGATGTGTGCAGATTTGTTTTGACAGACACACACCTCATCAGTGCCGGAGGGTAAGGTTTGACGACTGCTGCCTTCTCAAGTGGTTTTAGATAGGAATTCCTTTATCGGAACCATTTCTCCCTCAACCACGCTTTGAAAAATTCTCTTAATCCCCAGTTCAGCCGTAATGTTTAGGAAAAGTTGAGCATTAAAATCCTTTTTGGCATCACACTGGTGTCGGTGGGCGCCTGTAGAGCTCGGGGCCTCTTCTCTCTTTATGTTTTGGTCACCTTTCAGTCAGTGACTGACGTCCACCTGTAGTACAAGGTGGGGTGGTCTTTGAGGACTGGGATTAACTGTGCCCTCCACTCCCCCACTCCGAAGGGACCTTTCAGAGACTCCCATAGAGGCAACGTTCTCACTGCTGGTCGCCTACCCTTAACAGCCATGGATAGTGGTTGCGGACAAAGACTTGCAACCGAAAGTTCCCTTCAGACAACCTAACTAGTTAAATTGAAGCAAAATCTATAGGTTTTTGCCTCTCCCATCTTGCGTTGTATGTGTTATATGGACACATGTAGAGCTGACGGCGGACAGGGTCTGCCAGCATCCAATGCCTGTCAAGCAACTGGGGATTAAAGGCCTTGTTCAAGGACCCAACAGCAACATCAGTCTGCCGGCCCTGGGATTTGAACCGGCAACCTTCCTATCACAGGCACGGGGTCAGTTTTGATTTTAAAAAAAGGTATCAGCTAAGCAATAATTGCAATAATGCCTCATTCCTCAGAGATGGGAAGATTATTGCTCACCACCGGTGGGGTTGCCAGTGGGTCGAGTTGTGTGGCCACGGGCAGGAAGTGAACTGTGTTGACAGCCAGGGCGGGGTCATCGTCAGTGGCTCGAGAGACCGCACAGCACGGGTATGTAGTGCTATGGGCCTGGGGGGGGTTGACAGGTACTCTGTCGCAGGTGGCTGGTTCATGATAGTAGAGCGGGTAGTATCTTTTTGAGATTACATTATGAAACAAGCAACTTTGAAATAACTCAAAGCTAAAATGTTAGTCATTTAAAATCATTTTCTATCTTCTTTGGGAAAAATTCACAATTGTGATATTGTACAAACTATTATCGTCTTACGATATCAGTGTTTATGTGACTATGTTGAGAAGTTAATATCACCTGTGTTCTTTCTAAGGTGTGGACACTGTCGTCGGAGCAGCTTGGAGGATGTTTACACACGATCCCCATGTTGGACAGAGTGTGGTCTGTGGCCATTAGTCCATCCCAGAGGTAAGGGCGGGTGTTTGGGTCTCAGTCAGTATCACATCCCTGCTCCTTCCCTAAACAGTTATAAGAATAAGGTTAATCAGTGAAGCACTCGCTTCGGTGACTGGCCTCCTGGCATATGTATGTTACGGGTCAGGGCAAGGCCTGGGGACATGGTAAGCCCTACCCCCCCCACAAGTGAACACTGGCCCCCAGTGGCTGACCTCCCTTGCACAGGCACTCCAGTCCACCCTCCCTTGCCCTACAGAGTTCACAGCCTGCTGCGACGTAATGTCAAGTGGGTAATAAAATGAGGTTAATGGCAACCAGCTGTGGACATGGCAAGCTAATCCCTGCCTCCCTCGATGCGATTGCATCACGACGCTCACTTTCTCTGCGGATGTCTCAATCTGGAGACGCACGCACAAGAGACTGCTTCTGACTCTCGCCTGATTTCATGGGTAATTCGGCGTTGGACAGGAGCTTCAGCGCAAACCGATATCTGGAGGATCAGAGATTTAGCATCTTGCTGCCGATCTATGTGGATCTCAATTCCGCCACGTGGGTCGTGATTTAAATGCTCCGAAAAGGCCACGGCCCCCCAGGCGAAGCCATAGGCCGAGCGTGAACCGCGTCGGCCCACTTAAACGGGAACCAGTGATCAGGATTGGGGGGGCGGGGGGGTGGGGGGGTAGCGTGAAGTGGGACCTTTTCAGACGGAGTCTCTAGTTTACTGCCCCCGATTGGCTTTGAAGTCCTGCAGCACCTCTGAAGTGCAGATGGAAGAGAGGTCGGTCCGCTCACGGCCGCTGAGGAAGATTCCCGTCCTGCGGGTTTGCGACATAAAACATGCAGATTAACTGTGATTTATAGCATGACGCACACTGCTTTAACCTTTTCATAGGGCTGTAAAAAGGAAGAAAAAAAAGAAAACACTCTTGTAAATCCTCAATTGACCATGAATTCCGTGGGGTCAAGCAAATCTTTCTTCCCTCTCTGTTTGTCTCACTTAACCTCCGAGTATGAACTGCCACCCCGAAGTCGCAAAGAGGGGCGAGTCGTGTGTGTGTGTGTGTGTGTGTGTGTGAGGACATTAGATATCGCTAATGGGGAATAATCCTTCTGCAGTGTTACCTGACTGCTGCCTCTCCTCCCCTCTGCTTGCCCCATTGCTCCGTGCTGTTCCAGCAGGTGTACGTCTGCCGGTCGGAAGTGTGGCCGGATATCACGGGAAAGCCACCTTGCTCATGCCGGCACTTTGACTGCTGACCTGTGTCCTTGCTCACCAGGGACATGCCCACACGAGGCTCCGTCCATACGGTGCCCCCCCCCACCCCACCCACATATGTTCTGCTCCTCTGCATAACCTGCGTTGATTACAGATTTGACACAAATCTGGTTACTTGGCGAACTGGCACCCCCCCCCCGGGGGATCTTTGTGTCTTTCTGCTCCGGCCACAACCCGAGCATCAGCACCAGCTGGCCGGTCCCGGACGGGCAGCCCCACGCGGCCTCTCCAGCCAGGAGTTTTGCATTCGGATTCAAGAGTGATTATCCATGTCATTAATTCTCCAATTTGATGGCTGAAATAGCAGGGCAGGCGCAGCCTGCTGCCCCACGAAAGCACGCAGCTGTGGATGAGGCGAGAGGTTAATTAAAATTCCCAGAAACAGAGGTGTCGGCTAACCTGGAAACCCACCGCGCTCAAACAAATCACTCCCCCCTCGGCTGCACAGGCTGCAGTCAGACCCCCCTCCCCACCACCACCCTGGCTGGTTTTGGGGCAGCTCACTGTCCTGTGCGTTTTTTAGGTCTGCAATTCGGCCGTTTTGGCCAACAGTTACAGTTCCATGCCAGAGGGGGGCCTCGCTCTTGGCTCCCGCGAGCGACTGAGATTCGATTAAGGGTAACCGTATCTGCTGGTTCTGTTGGTAAGCGGCGCCGGGCGTCACCAGGAATCCCTGCTGCTGGGTGGATCCCTCTGCTGTGCCCCAGGACATGGTGTCGAGCAGCGGACACCCGACATCGTCTTTCTTACACCTTGATAGCTGAAGTTCGCCCATACGCTGCAGATGGAAAAGGGAAATGTGCTTTTGTGAATTAACTGGAATAGGAATCATTTTCAGTTGGTTAAATATGAATTATTATTATGACCCTTATATATTATTACTTTAACTGGTGCTTTTGTAAGGTTTCATGTGATGTAGAGGACATCTTCACCTGTACATTTACAAAGATGGGGTTCCTTGTGTGTGTCATTTGATTTTCCATTAGATTTTTAAGTCTTTTTTATCTAGGCATCACTGACACTTACAGTTACCCTGAAGAAGGCAGTCGAATTTCAGGTTACGCCTGTAAGGGATCGAATATTTTGCCGAATGGTAGGTGGACCTACATCTCAGATGGGGGGGGGGGGGTGGTGTTTTAATTTGAGCAGCCAGACCCAGAAGAAAGGGAGCCCCTTGTGTTGCAAATGGCATTGTTCCCGCTTCACGCTCGAGGTATCTAAAGCGCAGGGCTGGGGTGTGTTGGGGGGGGGGTGGGGTGGGATGGTGTTGGGGGGCGCAGCTGGGAGCGGCCGGGTTGTGGGGAGTGAGAGGTGCCTCACCCCCCCCCCCCCAGGTGTGTGGAGGGGGGCTTCACTGGGCTTCACTGGTATCCAGCCTGAAAGAAAGGGCCGGGTGTAAGGAGATCCAGCTTGCTGGTCTCCTCTGGGGAGCATCATCCCAGGATCCATTAGGGGGCACATTGTGTGTAGATGAATGACCTGGGACCCCCCCCGCGCAGGTGCTGAAGCCGGCCCCTTGCTCCGCACGCTCGCCTTTCACCCATCACTCTGCCAGCCTCTTCTCGGATTCGCATGCAGGCCTCCACGCTTGGCCGCCCAGGCCCGGCCCAGTCCGCACCGCTGAGGGCCCCGACATCCTACAACGTTATCGAGTTCCGAGGCCGTGACAGGAACTCCCCATCGCGTCACATCTCCCATCTCCGTGCACCGTATAAATCCAGTGAAATGGCGGGGGGCACGTTTCATCTCGCTCCCGGGCCGCGCTGGCTCATCTCAGCGGGGGCCCCACCTGCGTTCTGAGTCCCCCCCCCCCCTTCACCTCTGACATATCACTCCATAGGAGGGGAGGCTCTTACTTATAACCCCCAGAACTATGTCTGGGTGTGGGCCCGTTACCCATAATCATTCAGTGTCAGCACCACTCCCCTGTCGGTTCAGATGAACAACAGATCCATCATTTGCTGTGGATTGTTCAGTCCTTCCCTTTAAAAATGGCTTCATCATGATAGCTTTTAATCAGCTTAACTGTCCGAGGCGCTGACCTTTGCCTCCGATATGGCCTGCAGGGTTAGTTTACAGATCAACATATCAAATCTGCATTGTAATACACTAGACATGGAAACCTATTGCGACTGAACTGTGTGTATTTATATTTGAGGGGAAAAAAAATCTGTCAAGTATTTGTTATTCTTGAGCTAATTGTCGCCAAAAGCTTAAAAACATGGCTGGAAAGTGCTAGAACAGTCCCTTTTACATGGTCTGGGGGGGAGTGTAATCTGAACACACAAAAGTGCTGTCTTTGTGTTTCCAGCATGTGAGTCCAACTGCCTTGACCGAGCGGGAAAGTATGTAAAATGTCCCTTGGAGTGTCCTGGCCTCCGTTCACCATTCTGGAAGCCTCTCTGGATACCTTAATGTCACCCCCCCCTTCCTTGGCTTCACACATAGCATTTTAAACTCAGAGAGAGGCCCGGAAAGGGGAGCTTAATTATATGTATAGTTAGGCCTCCCCCTGCTGTTGAGTGTGGAGGTAACTGTGTTCGGTCACCAAAAGTCCGGCCTCGCGTGTGAGTGACAGGAATGAATGGCTTTGGAAAGTTTGACACAGGCTCCTTATTGGAATTCAATCTAAGCGTGTAGGTGGACAGATATTGATCGCAACATTTTACATAATCTGGATTTATCTGGCATCCAGAATTATCCAGAGTTAATGTAGCAAAATGACCTACAATCCAGGGAGCTCGGCGCTGGTTGGTGGACTTAGGCCAGGTGAATGGCTATGTTTACTGACTGAGTTTGACTGACTCGAGTTTCTGTAGTGGAAAAACTTTACTTTGCATGTTTACAGTTTGTCATTAAACAGGACAGGAGTATCGATATAAATATGAAAAACGCTGGATAAAGCCTGATGTTCTGATAGAGAGGATGAGTTGAAAATAGTTTTAGGATCCCAGATTTCCTGTTACTGGCCTAGTAGGAATGATAATATTTGTAGCAGTGTGGAAACACGTGGCCTACTGCCATGAACACTTACGTATTTTACACCACGGCGCAGCGCCCGGCTCCCTCCGTAACCAGCATGCACTCATCACACCAGCAGTAGAGCTTCACCTACGTCTCCCCAAACTAGCTTGTGCTCTAAGACTCCCTTGTAACCCCTCAGCAGAAGATCTGAGAGCGCTTAAATCTGTCGTCCGAGTTTCCCCTCGTTTTTATTATTGGCCTTCCGACAGCCATTGGCATAGAAATTTGATTTTGGTTCTTTGCTGTGCTGTTTATTGTCCCACAGTAGAATCTTTAAGGAGAATGTCATATGCATCAGAGTCTACATCACGATACAGCTATAGGCAGTATGGCAGATGTGGTGACTGTGGATGGTGGAAATTTCAGAGAAACACGAGAAGTGGGAACAGCTTATCTGCTTGATGAGTGATTCCAAGTTACATGCCCCTTTTCACCTGTAGTAGGACAATAAGCATTGCTAACCAATGGGGCGTTTTGTAGCTCTGCAGGTTATGACTCTGTGCTCATGATCGGAAGCCTTCTGGTTCAAATCCCATGGCGGGCAGAGTGGTGTCCCAATTGGGCTTTAGAGCTCCTGCCCTCTGATCCATACTTTTACGTTATGTTGCACAAAAGCATCTGCTAAATGTACCGTGTGCCAGTGATCTACACCTTTCCACTGCCACCAAAAACTGAGCCGTACCCGAGATACCAGTGATCTGTGTTGATATGCTTGGATTATCTGAAGGGAAAAGGCACATTCTACGTATTATTTATTAGTAGTAGTATTTTACATTGCGATGTATTGATGCATTCCCAATAACTCAGTACTTGAAAATTTCTGGCCACCTATTTAAAAAAATACTACAGAACAGAGCTGTTGCTCTCCAAGCCCGGCAACGCCTTTACAGAGCCGACCGTACCGCAGTGGAAAACCAAAGCAAGCTGGAACCACACTGTAAGTAGTCTCTCTTCGTGGTTCAGCTCGGTTGCCTTAATCCCAGTCTCACGACCACGCTGGTTATTCCTGGGGCCACGGACAGCAGTAGGTCATCAGGGAGTAGAAGGGATGAATGGCGTGTATGCCGAGGCCTCAGAGTGCGCCCCCCAGTGGTGAGCATGCCTAACACCAGGCGCTGAGAAGGAATGGGACAGTGAACCGTTGGTGTGGAGGAGTAGCCCCCCCAGGGGAGGTGAGAAAGGGGGCTTTTTTTTCTGGTTTTGTTTTGTCTAGAACTCATCAAGCAGAACTACAAAGTTGTCGTAGGACAGGGCCTCTTTAAATTTGCAAAAAGAAAGAGAAAATGACAGTCGGATAAACTACCCGATTCAGTTCTTTCTCACAGCGGAGGAGCCGTCACCTCTGACCTCTGTGTAAGAGTACAGGGAACCCACCGCTGCCCCCACCGGCCATTGCTCCGCCCCACTCAAGCAAAGCAAAACCAAACCTTGCATCTTTCTTTAGCCTTTGGTCTGCCCCGGGCCTGGCCGAGCAGGGCTGTGTCTTAGGAGTCAAGAATTCAATTAGTTAGAAAAAGAGGAAAGAAAGAGTCTGCAACAATAAAGCGATAAGGGATGGGGGCGAGAGTTCCCACACGTTAAATACAGGGCGCTTGTCGCTGAAAGCCCAGCGAGGGGCCAGGTCTCTGCTGGCGGGAGGCGTCCCCAGTAATTGCAGCAGACCTGCCCATTCCCGACAGCCCCCCCCCCACAGCCCCCAGCCATTAGAGGCACATGCCCCACATAGGGGCTGCCCACTGAACGCCACAATCCAAATGGTCACCAGGAATGTATGCCCTCTCTGTCCCCCTCCTTTTTTGTGGCTTTTTTTTTTTCCTTCCTGATTTTTGACCCTAATTTTGCATACTAGGTGTGCAGGCTAGTGTGCCCTCAGCCCAGACGGAACTAGCTTAATTTCAAGACATTCAGGACACTTATAGATCCACTCAAGAACCACTTAACATGGCATTTAGATGTTCTTTTTAAATGTCTCTTCAGTAGAAGTATGTTTGAGTAGCCTAGAGAGATCTTTGTCTGCAAGAAGAAGGCCGGCAAAATTTATTGTAGTGGACCCCAAAATCGAGAGGCTGTGCTTGGTAGAATTCCAAAAATACTGTGCTAAAAGTAAACCTTTTGCTTTGTAACCTGTGTTTTGGAGTCCTTGCCAGGTTCTGTTAAGTTTCTATTAAGAAACTAACACAATGTGGTTAACCCGACACTTCTTCACATGGACACGTTTCCGTCATCTTGCCCTCACTTCAAATGTGAGCCACTGACCAGGTTGTGGTGATCCCGCCTCTGTTTCTTGTGTCTTTGGGCAGACCAACCTCCATCCAGTTTAATCACGATCTTTGTCTGCACCATCTGCATCCTTCAAAGGAGTACAGATCTGCTGTTGGGGTTCAGTAGACTTTCAAGGCCATGATGACAGACATGCGTACTTGTTGGAGCTTTGTGAACGTTCTAGGTTGCAGCAGAGAACCTGAACATATGTCAGTCTTGGAGCCAAGGTTGGATGTTGCCTTTGAATCTTTGGTTGAATCTTTCCAGGTTATGGCGGAGAACTTGGTCCATAGAGAGCTGAAATAGGACATAGCACATACCAAATGCCATAGGACAGCTTCTCCTTTATTCTATACCTGTTTGGTTGTGTACTGTTGTGTTCTGTACATGCTGCTTGGTGGAGAAGGTGCCTCAGGATGGGATTAACCTCACTGGGAAGCCTTTTCTGCGCCACAGCTCCTGCTGGATCAGCTACCCATTATGCAGGTGTCTTTAGGTCTCTTCCTACAGATCACAGCCCAATGGCTCGTTATTCCTTTTCAGGAGTGATATTGAAAGTTCCAGCAATTAATGCCTAGATCAGGGAGATTAAATAAAGCCTTCATGGGTGTTTGTATTGTTTAATTAGATTTTTATAATCGGTCTAAGTTTTAATTCATTTGGATTAACAGACTTAAAAACTGAGTCAAGCTGACCTGTGTGTCTGCTACTTCTGGAACATTCCTTTTAATGTGTCACTTACAAAGAACACTTTCTGATTAGATGTTTCTTACTTCCTGAATAGTCAAAGACGTTGAATTTGACACATGCCCATGTTCTCTGGTGAGGGTTCAATATAGATCAACCGTTACGTGGGATTAGAGCTGCAGAAAGCTTCCCATTGGCCCCTGGTGATGACATCAGCAGTGTGTGTCCTCAAAAAGGGGATCATGGGCATTTCTCAATACCAAGAATGCAAAGATCGTACTTGTGGTCTTGGCAAGACCGGTTTTGCTAATTTGCCTCCCAAGAATGAACTTAGGGCACAATGAATCATGGGATTGGTCTCGTTTGGTGAGGATGCAGATATATCCTTTATATTTAGGAAGGAGCAGGACCAGCATCCGGGGATTTTTGCCATCCTCTGTACTTCTGTTCTTAGTATTGGAACAGGCAATGGAAGATGACGTAAAATGGTTAAACAGGAACACAAGTACGGTCAAGTATGCATATTGAGAAAGCAGACATGCATCATGCAACACACTCGAAGAAATGCAAAGGTCATGAAATGAAGCATAGCTGCCCTTTTTGTTATGATAATCCAGGAGCGGATAATGCCACCTGGTATCAGTGCAGGTGCTTCTCATGTGAAACAGCATGTCTGTGCATTTAATAATAAGTTAAATTGTGTTGATTTGCACTGTCGTCTCACACCTCTGGGACCAGGGCTCAAGTCTTTGCCGTGGATCTACATGTGTAGAGTTTGCATGTTCTCCCAGGGTCATCATAGAGTTTCTTCCAGGTTCTCTGGGTTTCCCAGACACAGGTTAAGTTGAATTAGCGTTGTCAAATTGTCTGTGTTATTCCCTGTCTTACACCCATAGCTTCCACAACCCTGCATAGGAGAAGCGAGTTTAGAAAATGGATGGATGTACTTAGGCTAAGGAGTAAATGCAGTACATTAGTAAGGCCTAAGGTGAGGCAGCCCAGCACCGCTGCCTCTCTTCCAGCTCGTGTCCCCGGAGTGGAGGTCAGGGACCAGCTGCATTTGATGACGGCACAACGCCTTCATTTACCCCACGGCAATTAAAATGGCAGCATGGCCCCCAGAGCTGAATCCATTTGATGGGCCGCCACTCACCGAGCGGACAGCTGTCATGGCTGCTTTGCCAAAGCGCGTGTGCCCTCCCGCCTCCCCGTGTCAGAGCGTGTTCCTCCTGCATCGCTAGTACTTTCTGGTTGGCCGTTTTCTCAGTGGCCCCGTCCACTTTTAAGCTCCTATCTGTACCGTAGCATTAGTCATTGGCCCAGGGCTCTATTAATAAAGTGGGACGCTCCCAGTGAGTTCGCGTCCCACTTTGCCTGAGGCCACCATTGATGTGACACTGTGTTCAAGCCTGTGAGAGACTAAGCCCATTTAGGTTTGGGTCTGTGTGAGGCCTTGAACACCTGCTTCCCCTGGGTGGCCTGATGGCTCTGGAGCCGCCTACTACGTCACATTAACTTCCTTAAAATGTCAGAGTGATTGGTCTTTGTGGTCTCATTGGCTGCGTTAATCAGGACTGAAAGCTAGCCCCCTCGGTTTAATCACAGGCAGCGATTGGGAATGAAGTACCCAGTCTTATTACTTTAGATCTGAGCACTGAGCTTATGGAGTTCTCCTGTTCTCCTCCTACAGCTCCTTCGTGACAGGGACGGCGTGCTGCGAGAACTCCACTCCTCTGCGCATCTGGGACACAGAGAGGTAACCGCACATGTGTAACGCAGGAGAAGCGACCAACCCCTGTCACGTGTGTAAGGTCACCCAGTCAGAGCTGATTCAGGCGCGGCTCAAACCAATCCTGATTATGCACTGGTTTATAGTGCTGATGAACACGACTTTTGGAGGGCGTTGACCTTCAAGCGGCCCTTAAAAACTTAATTCTGGTGAATCTGGTGGTGCAGAAAACCAGGTGCTTCAAGGGCAAAGAGCAATACCAGAGAACGCAAATTATCCCTATGAAAAAGCTTGACCTTAGTTGTATCAGTAGACTTGGGAAAGATCTACTGTCCAGATGCTGAGGGCAACTGGAGAATATCTGTTGTCTAAAAATTCATTTCCCACAGACGGATTCTAAGCAGAACAATACAATGGAATGATTGCATCTGGAATGTGGAACTGTAAGAGATCTGGGCTACATTCGCCTGTATGTGTCGGACCTTGTGAATGGCCCATTAGCCACCAACGACGGCCGCCGTTACAAAGGTGCGGGCTCACTTCCTTTTTGCTGGCGGAATTGATTAGACTGGTGGAAAGTAGGGAACTTTTCGGACGAGAGTTGTCAATCCCGTACCTTTTCAGGTCTTAAGGGCGGACTTTGTTTGCGCAGTTCAAAGCGGACCGGAGCATTCCTGGTATGAAAGCGGGGCTTAAAACCTGATACAGCCTCACAGCCCCACGGAATTCCCAAGGCCTGCCCGCTGAATTAAACCTTTAGCACATTGTATGGCAGAAATGAAGGGGTTTCCGGCACAAAACGGCAGGGAAACGTGAGATGGCCGAGGGAGGGGCCTTTGAGCGCCTTTCTGTGGGAGTCATATTTTGAGCGGGATTAGAGCAGAGGAACAGGGGGGATTCAGTTTGATCTCTCAAGCGCAGATTGTGAGTGACAGGCTGATGGACAGGAGCCGCGGGGCCCCACCCACTGCTACACAGGTACTTACAGTTAAATGGGCTTCCAGGCCTCAGCCTTTCTGGGTGGGTGGGTCTCTTGGAGCTGAGAGGGGGGGGGGGAGGGTCCAATTAAGGTGAGATGTGGAAATGTTAGCCAGCGCAGGATGAGGTACCTGAAACAGATAAACATGGTCATGTTGACCAGGTTAAAATGCATGATTGATTTATATAACAAGTTCTATCTGCTATATCTGCTCAAATCATATCCATATTCCTGTCTGCGGTTGGAATGAACTATTATTAAGTTTGTTCAGTTTGTAAACCTACAGTTTATGGCGATAAGTCGGTAGAAGCTACCGGATGTTGGGCTGCCTTATTAGGTGAGTGGTAGGGGTGGTAATGCTATTACTGGGTAACATGGTTGCCAGGTAATGGCGTTGCTGCGGCTCCCAGGGCGGGCGGTGACACGGACCCCTCCCTGCCGTGCTCCGTCGCAGGGGTGAGACGCACCCACACGCAGCAGCTATCCGGCTCTGAATCTACTGGGTGCTTCTTTGTGGGGGCTTCCGGGCTGCATGGGGGCGAGCTGTTTTTCCCAGCACCTGTGGCCCGCGACCGTGCTTCCGTGCCGTCCTCCGCCCGCACAGGTTAACCACGACTGGCAGAGGCGATGGTTTCTGCACCGGCGAAGTTGGTGGTAGGCGGGGTGATTCCGCTAAAAATAATCCCTGTTTGGGTTATGCTTCATCCACAGTCACTGGGAGCTATTAGCAGTAAGCTCTTTTATACCGCACTACCCCAGTCACCCTGCCCCTGAGCTGAGGCCTGCTCACCTTACTGACACCAGAAGGGCAACACTGTCCCACACTCCTGTATGATACAGAAACTCTGCTACACTGGAAGGGCAACACTGTCCCACACTCCTGTCTGATACAGAAAGTCTGTTACACTGGAAGGGCAACACTGTCCCACACTCCTGTCTGATACAGAAAGTCTGTTACACCGGAAGGGCAACACTGTCCCACA